CGGGTCGCCCAGCTGATTCCAAGTGTTGTAGTTCCACGCCTTGTCGGCGAGGCGGATGCAGTGGCGTTTGAGTCGCCGCGCCGTACGTGGATGCCGAGGAGGCCTGGGATTGGGGGCGCGGAGGCGCGGTAGGGAGGGTAGGACGGGGAGTCGTCGGGATTTTTGGCGGTGGGCGTGAGGGCTGCGGGGGGGGCGTCAGAGCCGAGGAGATGGAAGTTACGAGACAGGGCGGCGGTGATGAGGGGCGACCAGGCGAAGCGCTTCAGGCCGGGAGATTGACTGTAGGAGGGCCAGAGCTCGAGCATTTTATCCGAGTCGGTGAATCTGAAGATGTATAGCGTCCAGTGAGTCAAAAATTGCTCGGTCGACGGAGGTACTCACGTCGTGTCAAAAGGCATACCCTCCTCGATGCACACGCACCGTGCCGACATCCTCCACAGCATCCCCGCCCATTTATCCATCGTCTCCAGCCCACCGCTCCGCGCATGAAGTCCCATCTCCGCGACCGCCTCGTGCGCCTTCACCACCACAATATCCTCCTCCGAACACACGGCCTTCCACCACTCCACCGACACCGCGCGCCGCACGAGGCTGTCCTCATCCGCCAACGGCGCACCCGCCGTCGGCCCCGCCAGCACCGCGTTCATCGGCACATGCAGCCAGTGGCGCAGCCCGTTCGGCAGGCGGTCCGGGAACGGCGGGTGGTCCCGCGCGACGTACGGCGGGAACACGTACGCGCGCTCCGCGAGGTACGCGAGGTGCGTGTTCAGGAGTTGTTCTTGCAACACGTTGTTGAGGCTCGAGATCTGATTGCTGAATCGCAGCACCCCCTATCCTGAGGGTGCGAGCGAGGAAGTGTCTCACCCTGCACCCCAGATATCTGCGCGTCATCCGTGAGTCTGCGCAGAAATTGAGAAAGGGTGATATGACGCCGTACCTTGGGGGTTCGCTCCCCGGAGGCACGCGAGTATGCTGCGGCAAATTGCGTTCATACAATCGGATGTCGAGAAATGTCGGCTCGCCGAGCGACTGCGCGAGCTCGAGGACAAAGGCGGAGGGGCGCAAATACCGCGGCTGGGAGACCTCCTCGTACAACCCGAGGGCGCCGATGCAGCCAAGCACCCCCACAGAGAATCGCGTCCAGGCGAACCGGAACCGGCGCGATCGAGGCGTCGAATCGGTTCCCCGGGCGTCGCTGTGCGTTGGGAGCTCGAGGGCAAGTTTGGTTGCGGGGAGGAAGGTGGGGTCGGCCATGTGCAGAATTTGAGGAAAATAAAGATAATGAGGGTGAACTTATAAAGTAGCTCTGGAGGTCCGTGTTTCTGGAGGCATCAAAGCGATGCACCGATCGGTGTTCTTGGCAACACACCCGTTGAACGGTCGAGTGTCACCACTTACAGATTTCCTCCACGATAGCGAGCTACAGGACGACGTGGAATCAGTTAGTTCCTCAATTGAGACGAACCCTTGCCATTGTCAAGAACGATAACTCACGATGATGCGCACGAACGCGTCTTCGCGCAGCAGTGACTGCGCCGCAGTAAAGTCATACTTATAGATGCAAGGGCGCAAGACGCGGATGATTAGAAGTAGCGAACATTACTGTCGCCTGGTTAGCATAATTTTATCCACCGGCATTCCATGGGCGCCGCCATGCAAAGCCTCCATACGACATGTACACTTGTGGCCAAATAATTAATTCATAACCCAGCGCCGTACCGCCTCGCAGCCGCCGACATCGGGATGTAGTAGAACCGCTGAGAGCCAGTGCTCCAGCGCGCGGCGGCGACTGGCAAGAAAGGCCGTTCTGTACCGTGCGAGCGGCGCTTTTGGTGGGAGTTCTGGGACGAAAGAGCGTTGGGAACGCTGAACGAGGTCGGGAAATGGGTGGAAGATAGTCAGTAGACGCCGTTCTGAGTGTTTATGAGAGCACCCACAGGAAGAGTGCGCAAAAGTTGCGATTCAAGGGCCGCAAAGTCGCTGTATCGTTTATGGGCGTGTATTTGCGTTCCCTCCTTCGTTTTCATCACACAGTCGTACACTAACCGCAGTGAGTGAAGAAACGAAATGCGTCAGGTAATACCCACCGACATATGCACCCCCAAGCGCATCGCCGACGCTCGTCCAACCGCTTATTTGCACCTCCCGCGCAAAAGCTGCGCTCTCTCCGCTATTGTCGCCCAACCAAATATCGTTGCTGAATACACTCGGTGGTGCAACCGGGGAGTTAGACCTCCTCCTGTGCTGCGGTTCCGTGGGGGACTCGTTCTGCGTGCAAAAACACGGAAAATTGAAGTTAAAAGGCCGAAAAAATGCACACAAAAGACGTACAAAAACCAGATCGTCGTACAGCCTTGATTCCTCTTCAACGTCGATACCAGCACGGATTATTTCGAGGCGGTTGGTTGAGTGGGCAAATGGATGGACAATGGACGCGGAGACGTGGGGCGATGACATGGTGGGGAAGGACAAGGAGCGACGGTATCAGCGGCAATGTGTCGTCGCGGATCGACGGGGTGGCGGTGCTTCAGACACGTGCCAGTTGTTTTGTGTTGTTTTGGACGAATGCCGTTTGTTCCTGATCATGGTCTATTCACTCATATCAAGCCTTCTGTTAAAACGCTAGTGCTGGATTCCTCGCGGCGCCGGCCGCGCTCCCTCGTCGCAAGAACTTTGAAAGGCGCCGTCACTTGGCCGTCACCCTATCGTTACCTCAATGGTTCTCCTGCCTGTCCTTCTGGCCGAGTCACCACGGGCAATCTGTTCAGTGTTCCATTTACTGGGAATTTCTTTCCATGCTCTCCTGGAGTTCTTCTCAAACCCGACACGAGACTCACGTCCTCTCTTGTATTGCCCATACCTGTCGCCTTCAACTTCGCAACTTAGAGCTTGACAACAGCGGACTATCTTCCGCCACGGTGAGTACTTACTTTGCGCCACCACGAGGGTACTGAACACTCGTCCACGCCCTTCGTAGGGCTCGGTTTATTTGTCTATCAGCTCGACCAAAATCGCCTCGCCCATCTCGGCTATCTTGGTTTCTCTCAGACCTCATTGCAATATCATTATCTCAAAGGTCAGATTCCGCTGGATTTCACCCTTGGCATCCAGACGAATACGAATCATCACAACCTACATGTCAGTCGTGATAGAGTAACACTCCTGTGTAGTTTGTTTTCCACGTTGTGAGTACCGCCTCAAATTATCTTCTGCCTCGTGCTCAAGCTATGATAGAGCTCGAAATCGGGTGGTCACCACGGTTCTTCTCCTTCTGATTTCCGTCGATGTTAGCTTTGCGATGATCATACTGTTACTGAAAGAAAGCGCAGGTAGGTAATATTTTTCGTCGCATTTCCTCACATGCATGCTCAAGAGATACTCCTCAGCGTTTGGCTTTTTTGCGACGATATTGGACCACCGTGGATTATAACAGCTTATTGAGGTGATGCATGGATGAACCGAAATAGTCTGCGTTCAGAAATATCGATAGACGGCGACACTCGTGATGGAAAAACAGGGTGTTGGCCTCAAAGTCGTTCATTCCGAACGAATCAATAATAATGATTGATGTCCATCTGTTGAACAGTGAGTAAAAAAGTGAGGAGAACATCGGTCTTAAACGAGGAACTCACCCTATCCCACTCCGTAACAGGATCCGTCTGTCGTAACTGCGAAACGCTTATAGGGACGGGAGCTGAACTCAGAATAGTTGGACACACCATATTGTTCAACCGCAAACGAGGAAATTCCCGGCTCTCATGCTTATACAGTTGGGCTGGCATCTCGAGCTCCACTGCGGATACATGGCCCGTGGGGAGATTAGAGATCTTGTAATCGAGTCGATCATAAACTCCGGGGTAAGGGCGGTAAAGAACAATGCGAAGACCGTTGTGGGGAATACTTTCTAACAGGCCGTCGAGGGTGACGAGTGCCTCATTCGTGGCTGTGATCACAGAGAGGCGCAGAAGGGAGAGTCGTGACAATGAAGTCAGGTCAAATTGGGGTGAGCTCGACTGAATGAATGAAATTGACGGTCAGAATACGACGGGGCGGTAGTAACTTGAGTACCCACCGTGATGACGATGTCCAGGGCTTCGAGATTCGGAGCCGCTGACACAAATTCGGACCAAGCGACCCTCACTACTATGCCTAGCGACAGGACCTTAAGACCCCCGAAATGGTTGCCTATCCAACCTGCGAATCCATCAAGGTGGTCAATCCGCAACGAATCCAGGTTTATAGGTGTAGCAGGAAGGGTCGAGAGGGCATCGGAGGGGCCTCTATTTCCTTCCCAGCAACCGATGTGTAGATGCTTGATGGTCGGGGAAACTCGCTCCCATACCTTCAGCCACACGGTTCGAACTGCGGAGTTGCATTGGAATGTTATGCGGCGGAGTGTGGGCAGGCTGAAAAGCTGCTGCAGGGCGAGGGCCTTTTCTTCATCCAGGAGTGCTTCGAATCGGATAACGATCGAGGATATGTGTGTAAACGGGAAACCGCAGATACTCGGCAACGTCGCGATGAGTTCGAGGTGATGGATGTGCCGGATAAGGTGTGGGGAGCGATGCAACGCATCCTGAAGTCGGGACCATCCTAGTTCGGGTTGAATACGAACCTCCGCGAAAAGACGTCGTTGAGCGGTATGCACCCAGGATCGGGATACCAAAGCGCAAGCCGCCAAGTCAGCTGGCAAGTAACACACGAAGTCGATGCAGAGGTCAACCAACTCCTGAATAGCGAATGGCGTTCGAGCACAATCCATGTAGGTGGGAGTGGTGAGAGGAGTTGGAGAGGAGACGGGTAGATCTGATGACCAGGGACGGAAAGGGGCGGCTTGGGGCTGTGTTTCCCGGGCCGGGGTCTCGGGGACAACTCCGATTCTGCGGAGGAAAATATATATTTCATTGCAGCGAAACGCCGTGAGGCGCCCGGGCGGAGACGTAGGGAACGAAATAAGATAGGGCGGGCAGTTCAAAATAGTGAGTGGTTTGCAAAACTGATTCCGCTGCGGGGAATCGAACCCCGGGCACGCGCGTTTGCACTCCACGTGAGAGGCGCGTATGTTACCGTTACACCACAACGGATATGAACGGCAGCTGCGGGTTTGTATCTGGTGCAAAGCTGGGTAACGCACAAAAACACCTTTCATTGTAACCCACAATGGCAATGATACGTAGGCGCTCGATTCCGACTCTTTGAGACCGACACACGGAGTTTTCTCTCAATCCTAGCAAGAAAAATTTGGGATCATACTGCAGCTTGCCTCAAGTCGATTGACTCAACGGCCTCTTTCAGCCCGCATCAAGGTGGGGAGAAATAGCTTTCTAGTGAATGTCAATTTCTTTCTAACAGAACTATGAAAGCAGACCGTGGACAAGTTAACTCGGTTCCGCGACTTCGCCGATGACTTTATTTCCCGGGGCAAACCTTCGCAGTCTTCGCTCCCGGCGCCGAGGACCTCGAGGCCGGAGAGATCACCATCGTCGCTGGGTCGCTGCAACGATGTAATGGTATAGCTGGTACAGCATGACCTATTCAACTTTACAACGTCCCGAGAGGCTTCCGGCCTCTTATTCCGAGTTTTCACCGAATGCCATCATGGCCATCAAAGGATCAGAGCGAGCAGTTGAAAATTTACCGGAGAGGTTTGCAGTTCAAGAGCCTCTCTATACCCCCAGAATCCTCGGTTTTGCACCCGAATACTCAGTCTACACAACCAGTCAAGCCGAGCGGAGGCAATAAGCCACGTGACCGGCCCGCGGTTAATTCCGATGCTGTGACCGTTATCAGACCCACACCCATGTCTCATCCTATCGCATTCAAACGATGATTTTTACTTGGAAATCCCCATTTCGGTCGTGCAATCCAACTCTGTTCGTCCTATCAAGTACCTCCGTTTCCTCGGATGGTGCATCATAGGCATACACTCGGAACCGTCAAGACCGATCGAGAGGGTGTCGACATAGAAAATACAGCTCCTCTGCAACATCAGAGCACCTACTTCTACGTGTATGAGGCTGCTAACGATGACGGTTGGTCGTATTTCGCATTCGATACTCATTTTATGACCCGTCGTGCAGCTGGCTTGAAATATGCGGTGGATCTAGATGTTATCAAGGCACGTAGCCAGATATCCGGCTCCGACAGCTCTTTCAAGAGCCGGAGCGCTGCCTTCAAGGAATCGTTGCTCCACAGAGACGCCTCTTGCATATTCACCGATGTGCCGCCTTTGCTCTGCGAAGGGACCCTTTCACAAGGGTGACGAGGTGGGTCGCCGTCCATCGCTTCTGCTCCAGTCGAATGACCATTTTACCAGTGGTTCGATCTGATTGTGGAAAACAGACCGCAGACTGCGGGCCCAGATGAGGATGTTTCCGAACTCACCACAGTAGATGACCGACGGAATGGGATGCTCCTCGGACTTGAAGCACACGTGGTCACTGAGTCAAGAAAGGTTGTTGTTGGGAGGAGCAGTACGGGGGGAGGCCGGGGAGGAGCACTCAGCAGGCCGTGGACGTGTTTATACACCAGGCGCGAGCTTGCATGGACGCGGGGATGGTCGTCTCGATGATGTGCTTCGACCTGAAGGGAGCGTTTAATGGGGTTAGCCACCGGGTAGTCGTGGAAGAGCTGGCGGCGCAGGGGTACTCACGCGCCACCATCCTATGGGTGCTATCATTCCTCGACGGCCATCGAGTGACGGTGGTTATTGACGGGAAGAGGACCGTCACGTACAGATGCACGAAACGCAGCGCCCCGCAGGGATCGGCACTTTCGGTCATTCTTTTCCTGATCGTAATTAACCGACTCCTGAGGCGGCTCGCGGCACTCTCGCTGGTCGTGAAGAACCCAACGTGGAGGGGCGGCTTTCTCGACGATATCCACTTCACCACGGCGAGTACGTCCATCCTCGGGAACGTGGCGGTCCTGGAGCGAGCGGGAGCGGAGGCAAAGGAGTGGGAGAAGGAGGATGAAGCGCGATTCGAGGAGGACAAGACCGACCTACTTCATATTTCAAGGGGTAGGAAGGACTTCTCGGAGTTCGGGGTGAAGTTTGGCGGGCAGACGGTCAAGCCGGTACCGGCATTGAAGTGGGTGGGAATGGTACTCGACAAGCACCTGGATGGGGCGGCCCACATCGCGGCGAGGGCGGTGTCGGCGTCGAGAACGCTCAACGCGTCGATTGCGGTCATGCACTCGACTTGGGGGATGAAGCCTATGCTGATCCGCGACCTGGTGAGAGCCACGGTCCTTCCGTGCGCTGACTACGGCGTAGCTTCCCTTCTCCCACTCCACCACTCCGCCTTCAAGCCCCTCGACAAACTCAACAAATCTGCCGCGAAATGCATCACTGGAGCTTACAAAACGGCAGCGCTGGCGGCTCTGGAGATAGAGGCAGCAATTCTGCCGGCCCAGCTGAGAGCCGAACGTGCAGCACTACAAGTCGTCGCATCCTACCTCACCCTGCCCCGTACCCGTCAAATCCACTCGCTCCTCGCTGACGCGATATCTTCGCCGCCCAAGCATATCAAATCATGCTCCATACTCCACATGGTTGAACGGATCCCGGGAGTACGATGGCCGACTACTGCTCCGGCGCGAGGACAACGTATTCGACAGCGGAACACGCCGAGGATAGTGGGACCGGGAGAAACGGAAGCCCCCATCGATACGACGCTGGGAATGGAACCCATCGTCCCGGTGCATGCTGCGCCCTGGAGCCGACCACTCCCAGTCACTATGGTAATCCCGGACAAGGACAACGCCTTACGCGCCCTGGAGCTGGCAACGGGTGATGGGCGAGTGAAGTGGGCGACGTGGTTCACTGATGGGTCGTTAATGGAGGGGAGAGCGGGGGGAGCAGCAGTGAGAGTGGTGGAGGGTGAGGAGAAGGAGAGGATTGAGGTGCCGCTGGGGGAGGGACAGGTCTGTGAAGGGGAGATGGAGGGGTTGGTAAGGGCAACGGAGAGGGCGTTGAAGGATGAGAACGTGCATATACTGTGCGTGGCTGACTCGCAGGCAGCACTCCGCGGGATAACCTCCACCGTTCCGCGCTCGGGCCAATACCGGGCGATCCAGTACGTTGAGATGGTGCGTGAGGCGCTAAAGGCGGTACCGCACCTCTCGATTGTCAATCTTTGGACGCCAGCACACGTCGGAACGGAGGGGAACGAGCTGGCGGATCAGGCAGCGAAACACGCGACGGAATCAGACCCGAGCCCGGACCTCTTTGTGTCGCTCACCACCGTCCGCCGCAAAATTCACTTGCAAGTCCTGGGTGAGTGGAACGAGAGGTGGAAGCGGTCAACCACGGGTGAACCGCTCCGAAAAGTCGACCGATCCCCGCCGTCGCTTGTCCCCCGCCCGCTCTACAAGTCAGATTCCCTCACCCGCAAGGCGTCGTCAGCCATCGCCCAGCTCCGAACCGATGCATCCCCGCTAAACGCCTACCGGTACAAGATCGGCGTCGTGGACTCACCGAGGTGCGAAGCGTGTGGTGCTGCGAACGAGACGCGAGCACACTTCATGCTTGAATGTCCCAGATGGGAGCCGCTGCGTCAGCCCTTACATGTGGCCTGCCGGGAGGTGGGGCTTTTCGGGTCCCTCCACCTCTCTCCTCTCCTGTCCAACCCCAAACTCCTGAAGCCGGTGGCCACGTTCGTGGAGGCGACGGGTCGTTTTCGATGAAATTAGCTGAGTATCTGTTTATTGTTTTCTTTCTCTTTCTCTTCCTCTCGGTTTCTTTTCTCTCCCCTACTATACACACATATAATTCATGACTCCCATCCTCATACCGAAACACCCTTACGATACCGAACTCTCATAGCGATACCCGTACACGTAGATTTAGATTACTCACGTACCAATACTTTACCATGACTGGACTCCCGTTTCTCTTTTCCCTACTTATAAAACTAGAATACCAATCACCACCGATTAGATACACACCCCCTTAGCGTACTGCTGTCTTAGCCTCGAAAGGCCCACATACAGCTAATATATTGATTTGATGATGATGATGATGTTGTGCATGTGCGCTACCCATTCGTGCAGATTTTGGCACCCTCATCTCACGTCATCGTCAGACGCCCAATCTTGTGCTTGATGCCGACGACATCCCACACCGCCACCCTCGGGAGCTCGATGACAATATTAAATACCCGGATAGAGAACGTTACACCCTTCAGTGGCTGGAGGGTGCCTCCCCAAAACTCCTAAAGCGCGTGCCCAACAACTCTGACGCGAAATTCAAGAAATACACTCGCGTCCCGAAGCCCTCGCCCATGCTCCTGCACTACAACTATGGCGCCGCTGCTGTGAAGTGGTGGGGTCACGGCAAATCACACCTGGAGATCTCCAATCGGCCAACCATGCCGCGTCCGAGCGTCCTCGTACCAGCCGCAATGGGCCCCATTCGAAACAAGCGAACTGCGGCGCAACTGGACACGTCCATTCACAAACGAGCAACGGGGAATGCGGGAGGATCTGGGTTGGGCCCTCGGGACGCCGACGCGGCGGGTATGGATTCTGATGAGATCGTCATGTTCTTCTGGTCCCAGAATCCCGCCGCACTCGAACGTCGAAAGCACGAAGCAGAAGATCGAAAACGCGAGGAGGAAGAGCGTGCTTCCCGCATAGAGCGGTGGCGAGACAGTGTGGTAGTTATGTAGCTTTTAATTGTCAATACTGTACCATACCTGGACTTCATGGACTATGTTCTCAAGTTGAGCACGGCGAGCAGGATGGGCGGGCATGGGCGGGCCCCGACGTCGCACGTAATTCAGAGCAGCGGGAAGGTTGGGGACGGCAGAAATCGAGCCACCAAGTTCGCCCCGCACGTCCCAATTCCGGGAATTGCCTGTTAGCCCACCCCAATTCCCTATTTCACGGGCTCAGGCTAAGGCGCAAGAGAAACGATGGAAATTGAATTTATTTCTAACTACACGGTACGTACAACCGTTAATTGATACAGTGTGTCGGATTAATGGGCGCATACGGATGGATGTGAACGTAGCAAGTGTGAGTGAAGCTAAGTGAGTGAGACGTAGCTATGCATTGGGCCCATCAAGGGACTGGGCCATGG